TGTATTTTACTGATGAAATATCTGAACTTACTCGGTATAATCATGTTTGTATCAAACATACGAACACTTACTTCCATCTACAATGTGTAACTTGGCAATGTTTGTGTATTTTACTGATGAAATATCTGAACTTACTCGGTATAATCATGTCTGTATCAAAACATACGAACACTTACTTCCATCTACAATGTGTAACTTGGCAATGTTTGTGTATTTTACTGATGAAATATATGAAAGACTGGATTTGTGCATTTCATTAGCTGAATTCGGTATATTGTGGTGCACAAATACTGTGGCGTTTAGGAAGTGAACCAGCTTTGGAAGCGTTGTTCGTTGAGTGCGGGGACTACAGGAGAGGCTAAGACGTGTTTGGGGGTAGCTTCAGCTGAAGTTAATCCATACTTTTAAATGAGATTCAGAGGTACGAGTTAGCCATGAGAGATTTATTTCCTAGTCCAAAATGGCAGATGGTTTTAAAAACTAATCGTAAGGGTGTTTTTACCATATTCATTATAATTACTTCTTATCTTAGCAAGTCAACAAAATTTATAGCTTATCCTAACAAATACCGTCGTAGTTGAATTTTTGAATGTTGATGATCTACCTAGGGGGCGCTCTATACAAATATGTATTAAAAAAAGCGCTTCCAAAAAGTTTCTGAACAACAGGAATTACCCAAATTCTGTACCTCAAAAGGCAAAAAAAGGATATGTCTGCTATATTTTGACCTGTATCAACAAGCACACATGGCCGAAATGTTACTATACAATACATCGATACTGGTGAGAAACCAGATCAATGTGATGAACACCTGCAACTAGGCGTGAATGACGATATGAGAACTCAAGACTGGTTCCACTTGAAAAAAAACTATCGTGCTTTTCTTGGCTTCGTTAAAACTACATACATAAACATTTAACACGATCTTAGTAAATATTGAGACTAGACTCCCCCCACCATCACTCCGCTCTTGAAGTTGAAAAAAAAACAACAACATTGGTAATGTTTCCTAATGAACACACACCCACATCCACGTGATGACAGAAATGTCTATTTCAATGTATTTTAATTTCGTATCACTTTATTCAACGACGAGAAAATCAAGTTTTACAATTTGGCTTTCGTGAAATGTTTTACAATTTCTCAATTTCATATTTTAACTTTAGATCTTAAACCACAATGACTGATAGTACTTTCAAATACCCAATTTATTTCAAGCATTTTGAAGTATGACATAATCCAGTTATCCTCTCTCAATGTTTCAGCTTGTTTTATCCACACTGCCACCACTTTCATTAACACTGATATTTTACAATAAGCTTTAAACAGAGACCATCACTGTTTATAGAGTGAACTCGGATATATTTGTCCTCCGAAAGACCTTTGCCTTTTCAATTAATATCTTATATTGCTTACAGGTTGATTTGGTATGTGACGTAAACAAGATTCTTCTGATCTCCTTTTAATCTAATAAATTTCAAAATACTGGCCACAGAGCGTCAATACGTTTGCATTGTAAACTATAAAACATTTTAATCTTTATTTATTTTTTTCGAAACATAAATATATCTTTTTCTTCGGGGTTATTATATAAATAAAAACAACGTTTGTTTAATTGCTCACAAAGATACTCGAGGGCTATCTGCACTACCCCTCTAATTTCGAAGTGATAAACCACCCACCGCCAACTCTAGGGTTACTCTTTCAACAACGAATAGTAGGATTGATCGTCACTACATTTTCCCCAACGGCTGAAAGAGCGAGCATGTTCGTAGGCGGAATTCGAACCCGCAGGTTGGGAGTCAAGTGTCCCAACCAGAATAGGTAAAAGTTATTCAGATTGTATTACTGTGTCAAAATAATTGACCATGTCACAAGAGTATAAAACAGTGAAATGGGATATATTGTTCACTTTGTACTCTCACAGTACATACATATATCCCATTTCACTGTTTTATACTCTTGTGACATGGTGACTTATTGACTTATTTTGTATGTACTGTGAGAGTACAAAGTGAACAATACCATGTCACAAGAGTATAAAACAGTGAAATGGGATATATTGTTCACTTTGTACTCTCACAGTACATACAAAATAATTGACCATGTCACAAGAGTATAAAACAGTGAAATGGGATATATTGTTCACTTTGTACTCTCACAGTACATACAAAATAATTGACCATGTCACAAGAGTATAAAACAGTGAAATGGGATATATTGTTCACTATGTACTCTCACAGTACATATTAAATAAGTCACCATGTCACAAGAATATAAAACAGTGAAATGAGATATACTGTTCACTTTGTACTCTCACAGTACATACAAAATAATTGAATGCAACTGTTTTTAATTTTGAGAGACCTTACTGCCAATAACGAAAAAAAGTCTCCAGTAAAAACACCTGTCATTTCTTCAGTTATATGAATAAGTTTTATGAAATTAAAGTATCATGTTTAAGTTGTATGGTTAATGTAGTTCTTTTTACAAAGAAACAAACAAGCATGGATCTATTGAATCCAACTCTTAATATAGTGAATGAAAGCTGTCTAGAAACAATTAGTTAATGGATTAAAAAATTTAAAACAGTTAACATATAAAAACCAAAACAAAATAAATTACATTCTCACTTTATCTGTTGTCATTTGTGAAATGATAACTTTCAAATTTACATGCTCATGACAGTGTCTTATATTAATATCTGGGGTACAATTATATCTTTATACTTAACATTTTATACTAATCACAACACAAATGGAACTTAGCTTCATATCCAAAACTTGAACATAATTTTCACGTCTAGGGGTGAGCACGTATTTACTAGAGTATCATAAAAATCGGTAATTTAATTCTAAACAGCCAATTTTAAGTTAACTTTTGTAAAAATATGTACTATTAAAATACAAGTAAGAAAATAACCACAACAAAATGACATTAATATTGTTCCAAGCAGCGACATCCACTAGATATGAAAAACTTGAATGGTTGACCAGAATAAGCTAAATAGTTGTGTCAAACACACACACACATATATATATATATATATATACTGCTATCAGTTTTAATCATATTTAGGACAAAGCATTTTTAAACATATCCAAATAACTTTGGGGTAAAAGATTCAAGTAGATGAAATCTAGAAAACAATTCTATTTTGTCCAAAATATTTTATGAAAAATGTTATTCTTGGAAAATGACTAGTGGTAAATGAATTTTAGATCACTTGGTGTATAATAAAATATTTCATACCAATCTAAATTTGAGTTAATTGCACATTTTTTTAAATATATTTTGTTCACAAAAGTTTTAAGATTAAGACTTATTCTAGCCTCAAAACATTTTATTATAAAGTAATGTAAGTTTGGAATTGAAAAGTTAGTGTTCTTAAAAAAAAAAAAAGGAACATTTCAAATATTATTGATGAGAAGAAAACATCACTACATATTTTATTAATTAACATGTTTTTATCAAGTTGTTGAATAAAGAGTAAAAATCGGTGTAACAAGAACTTACCTGAGAACTTACCTACATCTTTGTATATCCACAAACCTAAGTTATATTTTGTTCTGTGATGGGTAAAAAAATCCAAAGATACCAACAATCTTCTAAACATGTGTAAATATTCCCGTACAAAATGTAAACCACCACCAAAACGTGTAATCGTACATCAATCACATCATTAAAATACCAAACATCTTCATAGATGCAGCTTGTTCTGAACAAGAGCCAGTTTGTTTAAAAATGTCAATAAAAAAAAACCAAGAAACAGTAACTTCAAAGTTATGAAGTATGACAATTGTACACAAACACAACAACAGACTTCCAAACCAATGAAAGATACATTTCTTTTTGTAGCACGAAACTCAGAAACAGTTTACCCAGGATTATTAAGTTACAAATTTTAAGACAGACAATGCTTAAAAACAATCCTCTGAACAAAACAAATTGATGCTAACAACCTACTCAGTATTTTTATATTCAGAAAAGAAGTTTAATTAAATACTTTTTTACTTAATGACGGCAACTACTTTAGTCTCTCTGATAGCAAGTTTAATATAATTTGATAATTTAATACAAGATAAAAAATGTATGTAATGTAGTTAAGTTCAAGGTCTTTTTTATTAATTTATTTTAGTGATTGAAACTAAGTACTTCCAGTACATGTGGTCAGTTAGTACTTATCACAAAACATTGAAACTAAGTACTTCCCAGTACATGTGGTCAATTAGTACTTATCACAAAACATTGAAACTAAGTACTTCCCATGCATGTGGTCAGCTAGTACTTATCACAAAAC